GTCGCGACGTATAATTCGCAAAACAGTTCGCCAACTGAATAAGTAGCATTAAGGGAGGATAAGGCGCGCGTTTATCCTCGCCGCGTTGAAAAATAAGGCGCGAGAATCCGTGGTAACCACGTTGGTTAGAATCAAAGTTGGAGAAGAATTTCAGGTACAATCTGCCGTCGCTGTGCAACGGTAATGCCGTGCAGCGGAGAGCTAAGTATCTTGTAATCCCTCGCTTAAGATCAGGAACTTCCGGACGCTAAATGCGACTTACCGTTAGCGGCGGCTTTAACGTCATGTGAAAATTATAAGAGGTACTTCGATGGCGCGTAAGATAAGCGCCGCCGCGGAAGAAAAGCCCTGAAGCGTGGAATTTAGGACGCGGAGAACTTAAACGCGAAGAATCATATATTCAATCTATATATCAGTGGATCGATGCGTGCCGTCACATACAGGGCGTACCTGGCATCACGCGCTTACCACATATCTCTCTCCAGTGAATTTAAAATTTGATTTCAATTTAGCCAAGTTTTCCGTTATGACGTAGTCTCTCCGTATATATCTAATTTTTAATATTATTATTAAATATATATATATATATATATATATAATTTATAGTTAATATATATATTTACCATATTTCTAATATTAACTACAATAGTTTTCAAATTCTATTTTTACCTTGTACAAAAGTATTGCAATTAATTTGCGCTATGTCGACGATTTCGATAATTGCTACGACAAACTTTTGATACTTTACGAAACACCAGAGATAAATATTTGCGCGGGAGATTTACTTTTAGGACCAAATTGCAGGGCGACCAACTTATTTACGTGCAAGATTCACTTTTAGGGCCACTTCGAACAAATGACAGGGCGACCAACATAAAAATTTCTAACAATGTAATTCTCGTATATAATGTGTAATACAAATTTTAAAATTCTCCTCTTGGTTGTCTTGCAACTTAATTAACAATTAAATTAACCGGAATTTGGTCTAAAAGTGACCCTTTTAGATTAATATATATGTATTTCATTAAATGCAGTAAGTCACGTAAAACGAACACACTTAATTGCTGTGACGTGATTGGTTCGCTATTTCGATGTGCGAAATTGTGATTCTCGCACTGCTTCACTTTGATATATTTTGAATCTTGTCGTTACAGTACACGTATTCGCGCGTCACGACGAAAGTCGCATCCAAATTCTCTCCGTATTTTTCGCGATTATTACTGTCTAAAAGTGAGTCTCGTCGTCGAATATCTATCACAGGTGTTTCGTAAAGTATCGGAAGTTCTTCATAGTCTATTAATTGCCACGTATGATCGCCAAATATTGTTATATCGTGTAACATCGATTTTCCGTTGATCTTAGAGAGGCGGGGGGGGATATCCTAAGATACGTCATGGGGAAATAGTGCGTTTAATGGTAAAAGGCCAATTTGAAATGTCTCGTAGAATGAATCAGTGCGCGGAAATCTACCGCGTAGTATTATAGCATGTAGGAGGTTTCGCAAGTTCTCTCGTTATCAATATAAGTAAGTACGACAATACTGCGTCGTTTCTTACAATTCTCGCGATTCGTTGAATTTGTCAGCGATATGACAGGACCGTCATATCGGTAGATCAATAACACTTTCGAGATCTGTGTCAATAACGCGGATATTTAATTTTTAATTACGTGAACAGAGGAAGGAGGTCGTGCTGTACGAGGACATATATTACTATCGTGATTTGCATGTCCTTGATATAGCGCACTTGACCAAATTTTTTTTTTAATTTTAGACTTCCACTTCCTTGTGTATAAAATAAAATAGAGACGGGTTAAGCACCGTGAAAAATATACATGTACATTTATAAATATAATTCTGTAAATAGTTCGATTACCGCGGATAATGTGTGAAAGCTATTTTCTATACAAGTAATTTTTATTGTCTTTCGCATTAAATACTTAATTTGGATAAAATAAAAATTAATATTTAATGATTACACTTATAGATCCAAATTCTTTAGAAGGACAATATGACATAAAAGATAAAATATCAGAATAGATTAAAAAATTAATAAAAAAGGAGAAACGTGAATAAATTTAAAATTATATTAAAAATATAGACTTTTATATCTTTTAATCTATTCTAACATTTTATTTTTTACATCGTATTATTTTTTAAAAGTTTGTCTTAACGTGATTATGAATTAAATGTTATTTTATATTGACAAATAATCATTTAATACAGTATTAATTATGAAAGTTATTATTAAAGTTATAAAAAATAGTTTCCACATATATGCTACATATTCTAATAATTATATAAATATGTATATGTGTGTGTGTGTATGTATATATATATATATATATATATATATATATATATATATATATATATGGGGGTGGGGGGTTGGGAGGGGGAGGGCGGTGAAGATTTCTTGCGAATCCGTTTCGTATTTTTTTGCGATTTCTACCGTAAAAGTGAATCTCACGCGCGAATATTTATCGCGGATATTTCGTAAAGTGTCGGGAGTTCGTGGCATAGTGCAATTATCGAAATCGTCGACATAGCATAAATTAATTGCAATACTTTCATACAAGGTAAAAATAAAGTTTGAAAACTATTTTAGTTAATATTAAGTAATATTATTTAGGTAATATTAGAAATATATGATCGAGATATATATATTAACTAACAATTTTATATATATTAATTTTAGGTGATTGGCGATATGAACAAGGAAGGATTATCAATGAAAAAGTCTACGCATACTTCAACCTTCTCCTGAAGTGCAGCAATGGTATGAATTATTGTCAGGTATTTATATCTTTATATCATCGTTTTGTATAATTATAGTAGATTATTTTGTCGATGATTCATCACTCGAACATTGGTAAATATATTGGTGTCTATCTCCATCGGTAATACAATTTATTACTTGCTCATCGGTAAATCTACTTTTATTTACCTTCAATCGTTAATTACAATTATGGTATCTAACTTATCGGTATCTAATCTATCGCGATGTTAGCGTCCTAAGGGAGGACGCCTCGGTCTATGAAAACGCATATTTTAATATATGCACTCTTGAATCGATTGATTCGCGATCAAATATTAATTCGAGAATTCTTTTATAAAATATCTATATTTTAAATACTTCAAATAATAAAAAGAAAATGAAAATAATCATATTTCTTTGATCGTACTTTACGGTTTTATATATATAATAGAAAGAAATATAATTACAATATTAATAATATATAATGTATATATAAATAATAATTTTATTTTTTTTGTATTTTAATATCCGATGTTTACTATTCTTTTCTATATTTCCGCTATTTAATTGGAATGTTCAAGATGATATGAAACGCTTGTCAAAGCGCGATCATTATAACGCGATGATATTAAATCGTCGCGAACAAATTAAATGAGCAATTAGTCACGCGAATATAATGAATCATGAATAAAGTGGAATAAATGCTTTGAACAATATCTGTAATCTATTATTAAAATGTTAGTTTATGCTTAATTAAACATAAAAAAATAATTATGTAATGCAATTTTTTTTTGTATTTCTATAAGCCTTAGATGAGCAAATAATAAATTAATAAAATTTATAGATAATAATTTGATAATTAAAGCAAGATATCTTTAATGTTAAAATTTTTGAAAAAAAGATATGACAATTATTTTAATAGGAAATATTGTGTTAATAAAATATATTTATCTTGTACTGTACTTTTTACCATGTTTTACACCCTATATATGAGATTTTATTTTATATATTACAATTCGATTTCTGTGCAAATAATTCTTATAAATTTTTGCACGTATCGAAAAATAATATAACTGTTTTTGAAAAATCAAATTTAATGTTGATTGTGGATTTATTTCGGATTATCTACTGTTTGTTGTGTAATGCAATGATTATTATTATTCTTTATTACCTGTCAAATGTTATAACAGGCTATACGAAGCATAACAGATCAATTAATAATTTAATCTTTACATATAAACTGTTGGGTTACGCGGCATTGTATATATTTTGGATTATTGCCCAATAGCACGGATCAAATAATTTTTGTTGCAATATAAATACGCATCACATTACTTTATACAAAAAGTCCTGTATTATATATATATATATTGATAATATTAAAAATCAAATCAGTAACAATGGTGATTATATCAATATATAATGGGAATATTAATATCTTTTGTGTATTAAACAATAGAAAATGAAATTTTATAAAA